AATTGCTTCTGAAGAGATACAAAGAGGAGATTCTATTAATTACTTAGGATATAAGATAGAGCCACAAAAAATTAGACCCCAAAAGGTACAACTCAGGAGAGATTGATTGTGGACTCTTAATGATTTTCAAAAATTGTTAGGCAGTATTTCCAACTTACAGACTATCTTTGGAATACCTAAAGATGGACTAGTAAGTTGGGCCAATGCCCTAAAAGGGGACAAGGACTTAAATGGTCTAAGAGAATTATCAGCTGAAGCTGAGAAGGAATTGGCTGTAGTAGAAAAGAAAATACAAGAGGCACATGTGGATCCTGTGAATCCAGAACTTCAAGGCATTCTGGTCATATTACCCTCCAGACATTGCCCCACAGGGATTTTGATGCAGAGGGAAGATATTATATTAGAGTGGATATTTCTACCATGTACACCAAGTAAGAAATTAAAGACATATGTGGAAAAGATCTCTGATTTGATTCTAAAAGGAAAATTAAGACTTCATTAACTGACAGGAATGGACCTAGCAGAAACTGTAGTACCTTTAACTAATGAGGAAATTTCCTTTTTATGGAAAGATAATGAATACTGGCAAAGCACCTGCAGTAATTTTTTTGGGGAGAGATTAACAACTGTTATCCCAAAAGCAAGAGAATAGAATTCATATAAAGAACTGAAAGGGTCCTTCCTCACACTCTAAGTCAGAAACCAATCTCTGGAGTCCCCACATTCTATACTAATGCAAATAAGTCAGAAGATTTAGGTAAAGTGGTGCAAAGCCCTTACAATTCTGTACAAAATCAGAACTGTATGTCATTTTTATGGTACTTATGGCCTTCACAGAACCTCTCAGTATAGTCACTGACTCTCAATATGAGAGAGTTGTTTTAGATATTGAAACTGTTGAATTTATTCCTGATAATACAGAATTAACTTCACTGTTTATGCAATTACAGGAAATCTTCAGAAACAGGGAACATCCTATATATATAAGATGCACATCAGATCCCATACGGGTCTGTCAGGTCCTCTAGCACAAGGGAATGATGAAATTGATCAATTATTAATAGATAATGTGATAGAAGCCTCAGAATTTCATAAGAAACACCATGTAAATAGCAAAGATTGAAAAGGGACTTTTTTGTTACTTGGCAACAAGCCAAGGAAATCATTAAAAAAAAGTGTCCTGTTTGTTCCTTCTATAACCAAACTCCATTACCTGCAGGAATAATCCTAAAGGTATACAAAGAAATAAAATTTGGCAGGTGGATGTGTTTCATTTTGCAGAATGTGGAAGATTAAAATATATACACCATACTATTGACACCTACTCAGGATTTCAATGGGCAACTTCTATGAATTTTGAAAAGGATGATTTTGTAATTACACACCTAATAGAAGTTATGGCCACCATGATAATACCTGTACAAATTAAGACTGACAATGCTCCAGCATATGTCTCAAATAAAATGAAACAGTTTTTTGCTTATTACAATATAAAGCATGTTACAGTTATACCACACAATCCCACAGGCCAAACAGTCATAGAAAGATCTATCTAATCAAACTTTAAAGAATATGCTAAATAAACAGAAAGAGGTAACAGTGACCCCTAGAAATAGATTAAATAATGCTTTATTAACCTTGAATGTTCTCAATGCTGATGAGAAAGGGACAACAGCTGTGGAGAGACACCTGACAACAGAAAAAACTCCTGAGCTAAACCGACCAGTTTACTTCAAAGATGTGTTGACCTCAGAATGGAAACCAGGATATGTCCTACATTGGGGAGAGGGTTTTGCTTTTGTTTCTGCAGGAGAAGAAAAGCTATAGATACCAACAAAGTTAATAAAAATGTGATTTGAACAGAAGAAACCCCTTGATGAGGAGAAGTAATAGCTCATCCACCAATATGAGAATTCTACAAGTTTTAAGGAAAACTCAGCAAACAAGGGTTGGGTCGGGGTTCTGTTTTTTGTTTTTACAGGATAATAGGAATACCCATCTTTAAGAAATCAAAAGGACTTGGACACCCAGACATTTACAGCAGAAGGGAAGAACCTATTGGTACCAATACGCTCCACAGGCAATCTCTGAAGTCTCCAAAAGGAAGATGGGACCTCACAACAACAATTCTTCCCAGTCCATAATGATTCCATTGAACAAAAAAACACTACTCAATGATCAGCTTTGGGCTGCAAACTCTTCAGAACATTTCCAAGATGAGATGGTCCATCATATTACACTTCTAGCCAGAACCTCAGTTAACCTTACCCATTATTCTGAGACTGGCTACAAACACTGCAATTAGTCCTATTGAGACTTAACCATTTGGCTTTCTTACAGGATCCCACAGAGATACTGTCACCCCCTCAACAGCAGAAAGCAATTTTAAGAAAACAACGCCCCCTCTCCTGAAATTTTTCATTTTTCTCAGGGTTATGGGTAAGTTGTTATAGAGTTGGGGAGAACAATAAAACTTAGATTCAGGATTCTTATTTTGGAAAAGAAAAAAGGAGAATGGATAGGTATAGTATATTAAGGAGATTATTATATATACTAATAAACTAATTTAGCAAACTATCAGCCTTAGATAATTTGCACTGATATGGATTCTTGTATATTGATAGAAATGTAAACTGTTTTTCTGCTCCTATTTAAGATAATTTGTATATTGATACAAATTCAAAACTTGATTGTCATATTGAACATATATTACTACTCCTATTTGAAATATTTTATATATTGATACAAATGTAAAATCATATTTACCATACTATATGTAGGTTCTACCTCTGTTTAGGATATTTTGTATATTGATACATATTAAGGATATTGTTAACATATTGCACTATACATTTCTATCTCCATTTAAGGTGTATTTTGTATATTGTCACAATTTTGAGGTCATTGTCCTTATACTGTACTTTGGCTTAAAGATTGCTTACCTTGCTAATGTGAAGCCTTGGTCCTTAGGTTATTTAGGTAGATAAGACTTACAGATGAATAGTCACCCATGAGTGTCATTTCTATAGTTATGTTAGTTATGCTTTCCAGATTTACAAAAACTTGTGTCCAGCTAACCAGAGTCTCGGAGTGCCAAGGCTGAACACTTGTTTAGACCAATCCTACGAACTCCACTTGTCATCTCCTGGTCTAAGCTACCACTGCTCCTCCTTGGGTGATGCCAGAATTTCAAGTGTTGTCCAATAACACCTGCAGTCCGCGAGTCCCTCCGCACAACTGCTGAGTCAGGCACGTCCCTCCCCTGCCCTGAACTCTAGTACACTTGTCATTTCACCAGAAGAAAATGCATCTTGGCGTTCACCTGCCAGGCCCTGTCTGCATTCACCCACCAGGCCCTCTTCTGTCTGTATTCACCCATCAGGCCCTGTCTGCACTTACTTGCCAGACCCTGAATGCACTCACTTGCCAGGCCCTGTCTGTCTGTATTCACCCATCAGGCCCTGTCTGCACTCACCTGCCAGGCCCTGACTGCACTCACCTGTCAGGCCCTGTCTTGGGGCCTCATTTCTTCTCAGCCGCATGTCTGCTCTCTTTTCAAAATTTATTTATTTATCTGTTTGTTTATTTTACGTGCCTGCATATATGTCTGCATACCACACACATTCCTGGCTTGATGTCCATGGAGGCCAGAAGAGGATGTTGGATCCCCTGCAGCTGGAGTCACAGATAGTTCTCAGCTGCCATGTGAGAATCAAACCCAGGTCCTCTGGAAGAGCAGCCAGTACTCTAAATCTCTGAGCTATCTCTCCAGCCCCCCCCCCCCCCCCCCCCCCCCGCTAAAAATTTATTTACTTTTATTTTATGTGTATGAGTGTTTGCCTACACATGTGTATGCATACCATGTGCATGCCCGGGGGCAGCAGAGGCCAGAAGAGGGTGTCTGGTCCTCTGGAACTGGAATTACCAGTAGCTGTCAGCTGTCTTGTGGGTGCTGGGAACTGAACTCAAATCCTCTGCAGGAGCAGCCAGAGCTCTTAACTGCCGAGGTGTCTCTCCAGACCGATTCACTTTCTTAAAACTTAATTTTTTAAACTTACATATGTATGTGTGTTTGTATGCCACATGTGTGCAGGTACCCATGGAGGCCAGGAGAGGGCATCGGATCTCCAGGAGTGGATGCTGGGGACCAAACCCAGGTCCTCTGGAAGAGCAGCAATCCCTCTTAACTACTGCTGAACCATCTCTCCAGCCCCCTCTTTTTGCTATTCTTTCTTTCTTTTTTTAGTATTGCTATTCTTAGAACATACCAAGCATGCTCCTGCCTCCAAGCCAGTGCACTGGCTGCTCTCATTCCTCATGTGAGCTCATGTCCTCACTTCTCTCAGGTCTCTGCCCAGATGACACCTTAGCATCAAGGCCTTCCCTTTATGGAAGGTGTCCCCTCCTATAAAGCCACCCACTCTCCCTGTATTATTCCCCCAATATTTATCACTGCCTGACTTACTGCACATTAATTTTGTTATTTGTTTCTTCTTTTGATTTTTGAGACAGAGTCTTACCATGTATTCCAATCTAGACTTGAATTTGCTATGTAGGCTGGACTTGAACTCTCAATCCTGCCTCTGCTTTCCAGCTGCTGAAATTACATGTGTGTGCCAGAACTCCTAACCAGACTTATTTGTCCATCTACCACCCGTTACCCGGTACCATATAAGTAGCCTCCGCGAGTTCAGGCAAGTGGTGTTTTTGTTTATTGCTGTATACTCAGCCCCATGATAATGCCTGGAACATAGTAGAGGCTTAAGAAATCTTTGCTGAGCCGGGCACTGGTGGTGCACACCTTTAATCCCAGCACTCAGGAAGCAGAGGCAGGTGAGTCCAGTTTGAGGCCAGCCTGGTCCACAGATAAGAGTTCCAGGACAGCCAAGGCTACACAGAGAAACCCTGTCTCAAAAACAACCAAACAACAGCAAAATAACAAACAAAAAAAGAAGTCTTTGTTGAATGAATGCATCGCTGCAACTAGGGGATGAGTCTGTTCTAGAAGACTCACATGATTGGGGCAGGGATGGAACAGATTCTCCAGTATGTAGACAGGGCTGCTGGTGAGAGCTGAGGCTTACCCAGGCTGTGCCCGTGTGTTCTGAGGGTCTGGTGCTTTCACACACACTATTCTTTTGTTCCTCACAACACCCCAGAAGGGTAGAGATTGTCCTTCCCATTTGACAGTTGAGGAACTAAGGCACAGAGAGACCAGGGAGTGTATGCCACCCCCAAAGGGGTGTAGGGCAAAACTCCTATCTTGGGTCTCTATTGCTGTGTCTGTCTCTCCTGCTCATTCATTCCTCAGTGTTCCATGATCTCTAAACCCTATCTCCGCACTTCTCCCCCACCTTCCTCAACCTCCCCCCACGAGGAGTCAGTGGGTGCGAGAACCCTGCCTCAGCCTCTCTGCCCTGCTCCCTCTGCTCAGGCCTCGCAGCAGGACACGGGCGCTTGGCTGCTGGAAGGAAGAGTTAACAAGGAGTGTTTGTAGCAGCTGCTGTCTCCAAGGAGAGGAAAGAAAGCAGAGCAGCGGCGGCGAGGCCACAGCCTAGATGCTTTTCCGGGCTCCCTGGCTGGTGACAGTGGCGGGCTGGTTGGAGGCAGCAGATGACCCACCTGGCCCTGGGAAGAGAGGAACGCTCTCACACTTCCACCAGTCCTGGGGAGTGCTGAACTGAGTGGACTGGGCAGCTGAGAGTGAGGTCGCTTGCAGGGCCCCCAAAGGGAAAGTTCAGGCAGGGACTAAGGAATGTGGGCAGTGGGGGCTGGGCCTGGCTCAGAGGCTGAAGCCAGCAGCAGGCTGCAGAGCCAGAAGCCCTGGGCTCTCAGAGGGTAGAAGGGGACCCATTGAGCCAAGGAGAAGTGGTCCAGGACCTTGACCTAGCCTGTAGCAAGAATAGGGAGACAGCAGTAGGGGACAGGAGGCTCCTACTTCCTCCTGTATTTCCATTCCAGCGATGTCTCAGCATAGGGGACACAGGAGGAGGCCCAGGACCCCAGGGCCTCCCGTGCGCAGCATCCGGCCCTTCAAGTCCAGCGAGCAGTACCTGGAGGCCATGAAGGAAGACCTGGCCGAGTGGCTTCGGGATCTGTACGGGTTGGACATTGATGCAGCCAACTTCCTGCAGGTGCTGGAGACTGGCCTGGTGCTGTGCCGGCATGCCAACACTGTCACAGAGGCTGCTCTGGCCTTCCTGGCTGAGGCACCTGACCGAGCTCCAAAGATTCCCATGCCCCAGGCTGGCGTTTTCTGCAATGGGGCTGCTCAGCCGGGCACTTTCCAGGCCCGGGACAACATCTCCAACTTCATCCAGTGGTGTCGCAAGGAGATGGGCATCCAAGGTAACACGTCTGTCTCAGACCCTTATCTCATGGGGGCATGCATCCCTTGGAGGCTCAAGCTAAGCTGGGTCTGGGGGGTCAGGCGTTGAGGTATCCTTCTAGATTTTTCCATGAGGTAGCCTCTCTTTCTGTGCTTCGGTTTCTTCCCCTCACAGTAAATCCTTACTGTAAACACACAGTGATGATCAATAGACATCTGTTGATGACTCAATCCGTGAAGATGTATGAATCACCTTTTCTGCTCCCAGTGCATGCTGGGTACCAAGGACTGAAAGGAATAGGGTCCAATGCCCAGGAATGCATGGCCTAGGAAGGCAGACAGATGGATAGATTCAGGAATTACAGCCCCAGGGGGGATGTGTGCTTCAAAGTCAAGTGTATTAATATCAGATCCAGAATGGGAATGAGCAGCTTGATGATATAGTAGTGGACACCAGCAAGGGCAACAAGAGAGAGGAGATTTGGGGTAAGGAGAGAAGTTTGTGGAAGGGAATTAACTAGGCACCGGGGTGGGTGGGGGCGTGGGCAGTGGCAAAGCACCAGAAAGGCGGATAACTGGGAGAAGCTGGCCAGCGAACATGAGGGACTAGAGCAGTGGTTCTCAACGGTCCTCATGCTGCGACCCTCATGTTGCTGTGACCCCAACCATAAAATCATTTCGTGGCTACTTCATGACTGTAATTTTGCTATTGTTATGAATCACAACATAAATACCTGATGTGGGACGCCAATGGGGTCATGACCCACAGGTTGAGAACCACTTCATTAAAAGATGGTACGAGTTCTAGGAGCCGGGGAGCACTCTCCAGGGAGGGACACATGCCTGCAGGGGTTTGTAGAGGTCAGCAGCAGCAGTTGTTTGCCTTGAACCCAGGAATGGGATTAGGTGTGATTGCACAATTCTCCAGACCAAAGGTAAAGAGACAGGGGAAGTGTCAGGTTTGGACTCCTGGCTGGTGGCAAGGAGGTGAGGGGCTGGTCAGAGGTGAACCAAAGCTAATGATCTGGCTAGAGATGTAGCTTATGTATCATTCCCATCATCGAACCCCAAAACAACTGTTGCTTTCTGTTGAGATGGGCTACCACCCTCATTTTTGAAAAGATAAAAACTGGGACTCTGGAACTAGCCAAAGGTCTCATAGCCACTGGGAGATTCCAGGACGGAGCCTTATAGGGTGAGGTACCCAGAGCCTATAGTCAAGTCAGCCTGGTTATCTAGAGCTGAATTTGGGGTATCCGGAGGATGGGTAGGAAGAGGAAGAAACTGCTTCCTGCTCCTGAGATCTTCTTGGTGGCTAAGTGGATCAGAGAGCAGGATAGAGAACGTCCTCTTCCCTGCCCTAGGCTCAATCAGGCTCCAGATACTTTACCCACTCACCAGCCTTTGCAGTTAGCCTGGCTGCCTTGTGTGGATGGACCCCTTCCAGGCGCCTCCTCAACCCGAGATGCTGGAGCCCGAGCCACCCTCCTGTGTCCGCTACCCCGGCCTTGGGATGGTCTCTAGCCGAGCACCTAAGCCACCCGTGTCCCCTTCTCTCCTTTGTCCCACACCAGAGGTGCTGATGTTCGAGACCGAGGACCTGGTGCTACGCAAGAACGTGAAGAGCGTGCTGTTGTGTCTGCTGGAGCTGGGTCGCCGCGCCTGGCGTTTCGGTGTGGCAGCGCCGGCCCTGGTGCATCTGGAAGAGGAGATTGATGAGGAGCTGCGGCGTGAGCTGGCCCTGCCCTCGCCGGATCCTCCACCACCCGCACCCCCTGTCCGCAGGCCTTGCCACTTCCACAACCTGGACCAGATGGTGAGGCGCCCGGCCATGCCCTCAGGCCCAGCCCTCCTCTTTCCCAGTCCTCCTGTTCTCCACTCCGAGCCCCTACCCTTACCACATGTGACAGTGGCCATTGCCACTCATTGGCTTTGCACCAGCCTAGCACTGCGCACCTCTCATTTAGCCCTGTGGGCTAGGTGCCAAGGACATGGCATCCTCGTTACCAGCTAACATCCACCGTGTGGCTTTGGGCAAATCATTTAACCTTTCTGGTCTTCCGTTCTCCTTCATGTAGTGTACTGGGGCACAGTAGCCATTTTCTGGGACGGCTGTGAGAATCAAGTGAACCAACATAGAGTGCGTGGAGCAGGTCCCAGAGTGGAATCCCATCCTAGGAGGAGGCACTTCCCTGAGGCTAGCCCCATTCCCGCCACTGGGAAAAAGGGGACTCCTGGAAGGGCTCCCCCTTTGTTCTTTCACTTTTTTCTCCTCCCTACTCCCCTCTTCTCCTCTTCTATTTTGTTCTTCTCTTTCCCTTCCCTTGCAAGGCTACCAGACGTAGTCTCAAAGTCATGAGCCCAAGCAATCCTTCAGGAAGGTTTCTTAGCAGAAGGCCTGTGATGCAACACACAGGACTCAGCCCCATGCTGGTCAAATAGCACAACCCACTGTATCCCGCTATCAGAAGGGGAAGAGGACCACAGTGGGGTGCTCGCTCCAGCTGTTATTCTTTTTTTTTTTTTTAATGTATGCAGCATGTATGCCTACAGGCCCCGAAGAGTGCACCAAATATCATTACAGATGGTTGTGAGCCACCATGTGGGTGCTGGGAATTGAACTCAGGACCTCTGGAAGAGCAGTCAGTGCCCTTAACCTCTGAGCCATCTCTCCAGCCCCAGCTGTTATTCTTATAGGTTCTTTAAAGCCTTCCCCTTCCTACTTACCTCTCAGCCCCCAGCCCTGACTTCAGCACCAGCCTCGGGGAGGGAGCTGTCTAGAGGCAGGTAGGCGCTCCATTTAGCTTGACCCAGTACGTGAATGGACTTGGGTACTCAGGCAGAGAAGAGGGCTGAGTCTCTGCCATTGCCCACAGGTGCAGAAGCTTGTGAGCCATTGCACATGCCCAGTGCAGTTCTCCATGGTCAAGATATCTGAGGGGAAGTACCGAGTAGGGGACTCCAACACCCTCATCTTCATCAGGGTAAGTGGAGACTAAGGGAGGGACATCCAGGGTCAGCGAAATGGGGGTTTCCTCCCATAGGACCCTGGCTAAGCCTGAGGGCAAGCACAGGAAGCCAGCCATCATAGACCCCAAGTCACCAGACCCTGAGGCTCTCCCTACCTTGGAATTTCCCAGGAGAGTCTAGGCAAAGTTGACAAGGGTATCCCATCCTCCCTTCAATGTAGCTGGAACCACCACCCTCCACCACCTCCATCAGGGCTGAGTCTACAGGATGCCCACAGGCAGAAATAGGGTCTATAAAAAAGACAAGTACTCTTCCTTTCCCATTCCACAGGATAGGGCAGAGTGAGAGACCTGAGAACCTGGGTTTGTGTTCAGTGTGTGGCCCCAGCCATGTGGATCCCAAAGCACACCACTGAGACCCTGGACCCATCCATTCTGTAGAGTGAACAGCAGTATAGGTCTGGGATGGGTTTTCTACTTGCCCTTCCCCATGCCTAACGTCACCTCCCCCGAGATGTCCGTGCTCAGGGGTGTGGTCAGCAGTTGGGCATGACCAAGGGCTTTCCTTGGGCATAGAGCATACCAGGGAGCACAGCCAGCCACCTGAGCCCCCCTCAGATCCTGAGACAATAGTCTTGTGATGTGAGTATAGGCCAGGAATTCGTGCTCCCGCTTTTGAACCATGGAAATTAAAGTCTGGAAAGACTATGGGACTTGTCTCATTACAGAGTTGGACAGAACTCCCACCGTCTCTGTCGCATCACAGAGGCGTGAGGGTCCCATATCAATTGCAAGCAGAGACAAGTGCAAACCCCTGTATAGCAAAGAGAGGGTCCCCAGCTGTGGGTGCACAACTTCCTGTTTCCCGGTTTGGCTTTCGCTTGACAAGGGATGTCTGAGGCAGTCATGGGTAAGACTGAATAGAAAACTATCCCGTCTCCCGATCACAAACGTGTGTAAATGAGTATACAGGAATAGGGGAAGCTCTCCACTCAGCTCTCAATCTCACCTTTGCCCCCTCAGATCCTCCGGAGCCACGTGATGGTGCGCGTTGGGGGCGGCTGGGACACGCTGGGCCATTATTTGGACAAACATGACCCCTGCCGGTGTACGTCCCTCTGTGAGTTCCCCAAGAGTTTTTGCCTGTGGGGCTGGTTAGAGAGACGGTAGCACCTGATTGGGCGAATAGGCCTGATCCCCAGGGGCTCCAGCTGTGCGGCAACTGTGGGTGAAGACAGAGGGGCAGTCGTGGCGCAATACTATGAATAACCACAAGGTGGTGCGCAAGGCACGCAGAAACAGCGTTGGCCAAGGTACATCTCAGTAGAGCTCAGGTCTGGCCTGGAATCCACACTGGTAGCCGGAAGACTGACTTCGAAGGTTTTCAGTCCTTCCCTCATCCTCTTCAGTATGTCAAGTAAACCCGAATAAGCATACAATTTGAATAAAAGTTGAGGATCGGCTACACAACACAGCTATTAGCAAATCCCGATGTTGGGCTCTCCGACCAGATCGTGTCCTCTGAGCCCCTTTGTAGAAACTAGGGCTGCCCCTGTAGGCTCTGGTGCCTATAAAGAGGAATAAGGAGAATTTCACAGTGTGGAGAGGAGGAACAGTGAGTCTCATAAACAGGAATTGAACCTTTCTTTCTTCTGCTTTCTCTGGGGGCCTTTGTTGGTAGCCCACAAACCAGGCAGCTTTCTGAAGCCCCCAGGGCCACCGGTGCAGCATGAAGTGAAGGTGCAGGATGGACCCTCACAGCCCCAGCCTACAATGACCATCAGCCGCTCGCAGAGCCCACTGCCTCCGGTGGATTGGAGTACATACACCTCTTCTAGCAGAAAGCTGAGGCCCCCCACTCCCTCTTCTCCCCGACCCCATGGTCAACAGGGAGCAGGGGCCAGGACCCTCAGAGAGACAGCCCCATTACTAAGGTAAAGAGAGGGACATGTAAGGGTCTCCTCCATATTCTCAGTGGCTCCAGTCCCAAGATAAAGGGAACAATGTCCTACCCCAGCAAAACTTCATCTATGCCGGGTATGACGGCATATGCCTATGGTCCTAGCATTCAGGCAGGCAAGACGGAAGAATTGTGAATTTGGTTCTTTCCTGGGCTGCTTTGGGAGGCCATATGACAAAACCAAATTTAAAAGAAAAAGGTTACATAGCCCAATGGGACAATGCTTTCCTAATGTGCACAAGACCCCGGGCTCCACACCCCAGGGCCACAGAACAAGACAAAGCTTCAGGTGTTTTGTGATCAAAACAGCACCCAGGACTTAAGGGGCATCTAGTTGCTCCAAATATCTACCCATTTCATAGCCAAGGAAACTGAGGCCCAGAAAAGGAATGGCAATATTGAATGTCCTTCCATTTCATGATTAAACTAAGACCGAGACCAGACCCAAGTGTGGGTATCTGGTCATCAGTCTGTGGGGCTGGAGTTTTCACTTCTACCTGCTCCATGGGGACAAGAGAGAATGGGCAGGAGGAACAGCTGCATAGGGACCTCTTGGTCCGTCCTCGGGAAGAACACAGGTTCTCTAGGACCTCACGGTACTCCCATGGGAAATGTCCCTGATGGTCCTGAGTCTCTCTTTCCAGCACGCTTTTCTCCTTTGCAGGTCGCAAGAGAGGCCAATGACCCCATCTCAGAGAATGTCGTCACCCGGTCCCCAATTCTCATCTATCTGTAGGAGCCCAGACCTACGGAGTACCATGTCAGGAAAGAGAGAGAAGAGATGCCCAGGTGAACTGCCCAGAGGAAGGACTCCCACCACATCTTGGGTTCACAAGGCAACAGATAGCCAAGGAACACATACCAAGGCCCTCACCTCCCAGAGGCTCCAAAGCCCCGAGGCCACCAGTAAAGGGACATCAGTAAGAGGACCATCTCCCCCACCTCGTTCCTCCAGCCTAGCCAACCCTCACAGTATCTGGCTCCTGCATCGGGGCGCTTCCCCGCAGCTCAGAGAACCCATGCCTATTCAATCCCCACCTCCCAGCAAAGGGTTCACCAAGATCCCCATCCGGCTGTCCCCTGCCCGACCCCCAACTCCAAGAAGTTTTTTGGGTAATGAAAGTGGAGGTTCCATGGAGAGAGGATCCATCCCATCAAAGGCCCTCACAGGGAACCTGGATATACCCACACATGGGCATCACTCTGTGGAAGCAAGCCATGGGGACCACCAGATGGACATCCAGATGACTTCAGAGACCGAGGATCCCAGGAACTTAGGCACACACAAGTGCAAAGGGAGGCACACCCCTCTGCCCCTGGGCAGGACCAGAGAGCAAGCCCTCTACCATAGCCTCAAAGAGGAGATTGTGGCCAACATGAAATTGCTGGAGGTGGGGGCTGCCTGTAATCAGGGCACGAGGCCTCAAGTCATCCCTCGAAGCGGAGTCTATGTTCCCAGCCTGGGTGGGAGGTGGCCTGAATCTGGGAGTCCTTATGATAAAGTCATCCAAGAACTGGTTCAGATGCCCCCACCTCTCTTTAAAGTGGATCTGAAAGCCTGGAAGGTAGGCTCTGAAGCCCCCCCTAAGCCAGCTGTGGGCCCAAGAAGCCCCAAAGAGAAGCCACGATCCAGAGAGAGTGGGCCAAGGATAAAGGCAAGCCCGACTGCCAAGGGTACCCCAGTGAGGACTGTGTCATCTGCTAGAGGGAAAGACTGCTCCACTCTGACTGTGCCTGCCACCCCAGAGGCTCCCACACATTCAGGCTCAGACCCCAGTTCTGACAAAGCCAGGGTATGTCTGGGCAAGGGCAAGAGAACACTCCGGAAGCCCCAGAAGATCCCATCCATTTACAAGCTGAAGCTGAGACCTAGAATCCGGCCCCGCAGAGACCACAGGCCTGAGAAAAGACCTTCCAGAATTCCCAAGCCACTGGCCTACCTCTGCCTGGGTCCAGCCAGGACAGCTCCTGGAAGCAGGCTATTGAAAGCTACATTGGGTGGCAAGGGAGGAGGCACCTGCCAGGTGGATCAAGCTGGTGAAAAGAAGGAGGAAGAGAAAGAGAAAGAAACCAGCATCTCATTGGCGAACAGCTCCCAGGTGCCAGCGAGCCAGGAGCCTCTGAAGCCTGATGGAGCGCCACTTCCACCTGAGGAGGAATCTTGGGTCTGAAGAGCCTGCAGATGGGAAGGACCACAGCAAAACGTATGCAGTGCAATGTGTGTGTGAGGAAGGACAGCCCCTCACTCAGCACAGGGCCTTGGCCAGGAGTGGGTGTCAAGACCCCCATCTCTTCAGCTGAGCAAAAGGGCAGTCCACACCTTCCTTCCACTGCAGGCCAGCATCAGTGGGGAGGGCCCATATCTTATTCTTGCTCCTAAGAACAGCTCCTCGGCCTCTGGACATTTCCACAGCTGTAAGTTATTAAACACTCATGGGTCTGTCCTTGAGATACATCTTTCGGGGTCCTTTCCCCAAGACTGTAGAAGTGTAGAGAGGTGCAGCTTCAGACCTCTCTGCAGGAGGTGATGGAGACAAGGTGGAAGGAGCTGTCAGCAAGGGAGGCTTCCTCCCAGGTCCTGGTGGTCAGGACCGTGGACAGCGACAAAGGCGCCTGGCACAGGCTCCCGAAGGACACCTTTGACATAGACTTCAGAGATTTGCCCCTGGTCCTGAGAACAGGGATCACTCAGGGTGAAGAGAGCTGGTTGATGACATCCATCACATTTCTGTGTCCAAGAAGCTATGTTTGGAGGCTCTAAATTTGACCCCTGAGGAAAATGCAGAGGCAGTTAGCATTTGAGTCTTCCAGGCACCTGCGAGGGCAGGTGATGTGACCTCTGTGTGGTTGTGGTTAGCTGGAGGGAAGAGTTATGTCCAGTACCTTTTCCCTTTGATCCCTGGGTTGACCTGGACTTTGGGGGTGGAGAGCCCCACTCTTTACACGTAGCAGATGTGCCCTGCAGGGACCCCCCCCCCCCATGACCAACAGAGCTGACACTGAGGTAGAGAAACGAGGGAAAACACTCCCTGATTTTTAATCTGACTTCCAATAACAGCTCGATGGGTGTCACACACACACTTCCAGACCCTGTGTGGGAAACCCTGGTTGGGGAGGGGAAGGACGGAGACTCAGAATGGGGGTGGAGGGACCTGAACTCCAAGACCTGGATGAAGAGGAAAGGGTGAGGGGAGAGGCTACATTCCAATGGATCCCCCAGTGGGGGGGCAGCCAGAGGCCTGGATCCCCCACCCTCACCTGGAGTGCCTCAGAGTTGGGGGTGATCGGGCACATGAGATGCTGCCAACTTTGCCCCACGCCCCGTGGAACCAGGGCGGGGTTGCAGGAGAGGAGAGTGGGCGCCCCTCTTCCTTACCCTCCCAGCCACTCTGAAGTGTGGGGAAGGGGAGCCACCACCTCTGTTTCAGAGGGAGGCTCAGAGAGGGCAAGTCGCTGGCCCAAAATTGTGCAGGGCAGCAAGGACTAGAACCCAGAACCCTGGGCTGCCCACGGTCAGGGCCTCTGCTGTTGTGCTGCAGTGCCCCCGCTGGGTGGAGGGAGTGAGATTCAGTGGGGGGAAGCAGAAGAGAGAATCATGGATTCCCTCCCACACGGGAATACCATCAATTCCCCATCCCCACCCCTGCCCCCAGATTCCTCCCCATCACCTCTCTGGGTACCTGACTTCCTGGTCTGTGCACTGCAGCCCTGGAAAAGGCTGGGCGTCCAATGTACCCCTCTTAACAAGGGGTCCTTATCCTCCCAACTGGACCAGGGCTGAGGCTGAGGCTGAGGGTTCAGCCTCAAGAACTCTCCTCGGCCGGGGCAGGGGACGTGGCACCACTCCTTCCTCCCTCCAAGTCCCCCATCAATCCCTCAGGCCATTCCTAGAATCTCCATTATTATTATTTCTAAATCGGTACAAAACTGACAGTGATCAGCTCCGGTGACGAGAGGTAGAAACCCGGCCAGGCAGCCGGAGAAAATGGGGTGGGTGAGTTAGGGCATAGGGCCAACCTGGTGTTGGGACAAGGGGTCAGATCCTGAGGGCCTCCACCTATGGGTAAGGATGCATGCCTACCTCCCCCAGGCACAAGAAGCTCCCTTATTCTTTTCTTGGCTCTGCCCCTACACAGACGGATCAAGACAACCTGAGACCTGATGGAGGCAGAGTCTTAGGCAGTTGGACTGGGGTGGGACTGGGACACGGAATTATCACTGGTATAACCTGACCCCCTCCTGGGCACCACCACCTTGCCCACCCACCACCAGTCCCCCACAACTCAACGTCCCACAGCATAGCAGACCATCCCAGTGCAGGAGGTAACAGAGAAGTAGGACCTAGCATCGTGGAGAGAAAATTATCCTTTGGGGGAATTTCCTCTCCATACGGTCAAAGAAAACAAAAGGAATTTTAGGCCGGGGGCAATCTGGCTTTGGGGTTAGGAAGGGGGAGGGGCACCCGGCAGGGACCATTGAGTTAAGGCTGGAAGGTAGGTGGTTGCGTCTCTGGGGGCTGCTGGGCAGGGAGGTCTCCCTGGATGAGGAAGAGCTCTGCCTTCTCTCCCCGACGGCTGTGGGACCTCAGCCCTCGGACCCCTTGGCTTGGGTCCTCGGGCCGCTTGCATCTCTCTGCCCTGTGCCGGTGGCGCTGCCGGTGAGAAGGCCTGGCATCACAAAGCTGCCAGGACCTGCGACAGGGGGATGAACGAAATGAGAGCCCTGTGAGCGGAGCTGGGGGACAGAGAGGGACACTGGAGGGAAGACAGGACAAATGAGGGCGGACAGACACTTGAGAGGACAGACATCGGAAAAGGGGACATGGGGCAAAGACAGACACACTGTGGGGAAGATGAGCAGGGGCCTGGCCAAGACAGCACCTCCTCACCCCACCCTCCTTTTCACACGCTCACCCTCTCAGCCCACAGATCGTGGCGCCCCCTGGGGCCGGGCACTACACTACAGCACTGAAGGTGGCTGTCCCAGGGACACCCAGGTCGGAGGGGAGGATTGGGGAGTGGCGGGGAGGCTCCCTCTCGCCCTCTGATTCTCGTGGGGGAGGTGTGTGGCTGCAGGGGTGCTTCAGGCCGGGAGCCCAGAGTTCTCCTCCGGGGGCTTCCCCGCTCTAGCCCTGGTGTCCCGAGGGGGGCTGGCCCCGCCCTGCCCTCCCTTCCGCTGGGACAGTGCTGCAGCAGGGCGCACGCGGCGGCGGCGGCGGCGGCGTCACATGATGGCGCAGCGGTTGCGGCGCAGCGCGCCCTGGAAGCGCAGGGCGGCGTGCACGTGTTTGCAGCGGGCGCAGCCCACACTCTTGAGCAGCTCGCTGAAGAGCAGCAGGATGTGCCAGTTGTACTTGGCCGAGCACTCCACGTAGCCGCACTTCCAGGTCTTGCGCACCAAGTGCGACACGTTCCAGCGCGGAATCACGCGTCCGCGTTGCAGGTCGCGCTTGTTGCCCACGATGATGATGGGCGTCTCCGAGGTGCCGATCACCCTGCGGGTCGAAGCAGAATTCTGAAGACGCTGCCAGTCTCGAAACCACTGGACTCTGCGCTAGCGCGTACTCTGATCCAGGTGCAGCCCTAGTCCCTTGGGGGAAGTCTACATCTCTAAAGAGCACGTCTTTGGATCCAAAAAAGTCCATACTATCGTTCTATTTTACAGACAAGGAAACTGAGGCTTATATGTCAACTGATCCGAGGCCATGTATCCCCAGCCCCTGCCCTTCGCTATTAATGCAGCCACGTCATAAGTAGGGGTCCCAAAATTAGTCAACAGAAGTAGGGTATGTGACCCACAACTGTAATTACAGCACTAGGGAGGCCTGAGGTGTGTGTGTGTGGGGGTTGAGTTTAAAACAGCCTGGCTACATAGTGAAGCCCCCCGGGGGGGGGGAGAGAGAGAGAGAGAGAGAGAGAGAGAG